ATGCAGCTGAAATAATTTTGTTTTTATTTTTTATTTATATATATATTTATGTGTTTGATGTAAGATTGTGTTTCAGTTGCTAAACATATATTGTTCTTCTTCGTCTTTTTTTTTTTTTTTTTTTTTTTAACGTGTTTATACGATTGCAGTAAATATATTATGAAGTTGAAGGAAAGACCGGTGTGCAGATTGTAGTAGCAATCTATATTATAGTAGTATAGATAGTTAATGGTTTAAGGATAGGCTGTAATTAGAGCATCGTTAGACCAAAGGCTAGGCCACTAGTAGCCTAGAGGGGTTATATGTAGATTATAGTACAGCAGAAGCTAAGCCATTACTAGGTTCTCAGTAAATAGACAATGTATAGTCTGAAAACAAACTATAATTTGTCTATCAACAGCCTGTAAGGAAGTCTATAAGCTGGCGAAGCAAACGAACAATTGATAGTCTTGACAGTTGCCAAGCTTACAGAAACGTGAAAATCTTGAGAAGTCTACATTTGGAAGACCCTTCACAAATGAAGCTTATAAATAAACAAAATTCCTTGATATACATAAATGCACTAGATGGACATGCGGCTATTCATTATTCCTACAATTTATCTATATATTGATATACTTCAATATATTATCAATATGATCTCGTCATTTATTATTCTTTTGTATATTTTATATTCCAACCTATTTCTTTATTCCTTTCGATATTCATATATTTTTTCTGCAACTGTATATAATATCCGGCTTACCGAATAATTTTATAATGTTGTCTATTCATTTATTTTTTCATTCTCAGGGCTTCTTATGTGGTTCAGTTTTGGTATGTAAGTGTGTCAGTTTTTTAGTGTTTATTCGCGGGGTTTTTTTCTTCTTAGTATCAAATCTTAATAGATAGGTGAGTTTTTGTTGTTGGGTGCAGAAGTTAAAGGCTACTTAAATGCAAATATTCAGCGGATTTTACTTAGGGGCGGGGATTTAAATAGTTCAAATCACAGTGCAAATAGAAAGGGAAAATTTGTGTATTTAGCAGACAGGGGGAAAGGTGTGCAATGTTGAGTGGAAAGTGTATGACAGAGCTTAAGGCATTTTTACTAGCATTTCGTCTGTATTAGTTATAGAGATTTCCACAGATTTTATATACAGATATATAAGTATTATTTCGCAGACCATGCTATTTTTCTTAGTGATTATGCCACAAATTCTCTCAACAAAATAATATTGCAGTGTAATTATTTGCATTTGCAAGTTGATATTAACAATTTGTTAGACTTATAAAACAATTCAGCTACAATATTAATGATGCGAGAAAATATGCAGACATAACACGAGAAATTTGTAGAACAATGCGCAACAAACTCTCTTAAGTACTTAGTTGGATATATTTGAGTAAGATTAAGATTATCTTGGATATAGAATATATTTATATAATACAAGTATTCAGAGTGTATAGAGGGAGTGTATCTATATAGAGGTGTGTGTGTGTGTGTGTGTGTGTAGTTCGATGCATCCAAATTGTTATTTTATTATGATATATATTTGTTGGAGTGTGTTTCTTGTTGTTGTTGTTATTGTATATGAGAGCGACAGACCAAAGAGACAGAGCAAGTTATATAGGATAAAGAAAACAAATGAAGGAAAAACTAAACAAGTTTTGGTATGCATAGTGGGTGTATTTGGTTTTTGGGTATTTGTTTCTTTTAAAACTTTTTAGTATTTTTTGATTGTATTTACCTTCTACAAAAGTTCAAGAAAACAATAGTTTTATATTTGTAATATATTTATGTATGTATTGAAAACAATTTGTTGACGGGGGAATTGGAGAAAGAGAAATTGAAGAGTTTTTTATTTCAGTTGTAGTAGTAGTAGTAATTTGTACTTTGTGTGTGTTATTGATTAAATTTGTTTTGTTTTTGATTTTTTTTTTCATAAAGGAAAATCAAAAAGTTTTCAAAATGATGTGCAAACAAATCAAATTGAGTATTTTATTTATTTGTTTTCATAATCTTTGATCAACTTTGTCCGCATGAAACTTCAAGTTGATCAAAAATTAACGTAGCTTTGTTTTCCATGTTTGTCTTTTGTTATTGTTGTTGGTTTTGTTATTGGGTTTAATGGAGCATTACAACTGTTATAGATATATGTATATATTGAGAGATAGATATATGTATGCATATACTTTTGAATTTTAAATTGAGTTGTTATTTAGATTTGCATTTTGAACTGGGTGTGTGAAGAGTAAGTTGAGAAAAAACTTTTGAACTTTGCTGTCTGTCATTTAATGTATTTACTTTGTTCATGTTGTGGTTGTCTTTGTAAATTGTTTCTGTTGTACTTTCGAGGACATTGAATGGAGCTGGGATGCTAAATACATAACTGGAGCCGACACACATTTATACACATTTATTTTTAGTTTGTTTCAAAATACAATTAGTAAACTTAGTCTCTGTTGTGGCGGGTTTTTATGTTATATTTGCGAATTACATACACACAAAACACAATTTTGATTAAGGTTTGTTTTTGTTAAGGTAGCTCAGATAATAGTACTCTGTATACTCTGTCTAGATTACATAGGTCAACAAATTCACACGCTTTAAGTTTACTGTTTACTGTTTTTTCTGTTTGGTTTACTGTAGTTTGTGGCTTGTTCTGTGGGATAACTTAAACAAACCCAAATATCGAAATCAAAATGATAAGCAACAGTTATTTGTTGTTGTACTTGTAGTTGTTGTAGCTGTAGTTGTTGTTTGTTTGATTGATCCAAAGTGAAATCAAATCAATTAAAACTAAATAAATCACACTTAGAGGCACATTTAGTTCTTTAAGTACATATACATACAGAATTGTAAACACCAGGGATAAGCCGCCCTTACCCCCAGATGAAAAGAACCAAAAGTAAAACTTAAATAACTGATCGAAATGTATATATGTTTGTATACATATACATAGATATTTGTGATATTCAATAAAGCTGCCATGGGCCACTCTCTACATACCTGTCCACCTTCACCCTCAACGCTGATCAGGTCGCGCCATTCCTCAATGGTCTGTGCCAAGTCGATGGTACACAGTGGCACCTTCACCTCGCCGATTTGGTCGTGTTTCGAGAAGCGATCAAAGTCAAATATAGCAAATACGAGGGTCTTGTTCATGGCATCGGCATAGGGTAAACTCTGCATGCAGACGCCAAGTGAGATGGGCGAACTTTATTGAATTCATTATAGTCAGGCTTACCTTAAAGGTGAATGTCTCGTTGAAGACGGGACTCAAGGTTTTGCGGTGCACCTTTGTCTCGAACTTCTTCTTCTTGTCGGGCAGCAGATATACCTTCACATAGGGATCTGAGGTGCCGCCCATATCCAGGGCGGGCAGCTCTTCGGCCTGTATAACGGTGACGGCCAAGCTATTCGAGTTGAAATCGTATTCAAGCTGCAATACATAGGTTATAGAATAATAGCCGCAAGCGCGGTATTCGTTCCCATAAGCAAGAAAGAGATGGAATAAACGATATTAGTTGACAGGTTACAATAATTTAAAATTTTCAGTTGGATTAAATGTGTTATGGACTTTTGTGTGCTGCATTCTAATTTTGTGTATTTTATTGGCAGATTTTCTATGTTTCAATTTGCTTCGATGGCATACAATATTATTTTAAATACTTTTGCATTTGTTGTTAATAAAAAAAAAATTTAATATAGAGCATCAAACTTTGCGAAAGCAACAGAAGTCACAGCACCATCCGATCGCCTCGAGCTTCGATTGCACACTGCGTTTATTCACTAAGTGCATTACGGAGAGCAAGCGTAAGTAGAGCGAGCACAGAGCACAGAGAGCGACTTCCAACTATTACACTTCCAGCATTAAATGCTCTCACAAAAATACCAGCATTTAAAGATGGCACCGCAAGGGCTAGAGTGCCGCTCTCCCTGTGCTGGCACTGCTTACTCTCTTGCTCTCTCCTTATGTGAGCTTTCCTTACTGCGCTTGCTGCTCACTATACATATTATTATTATTACATATTACTACAGCTCACAAATCCCTGTCGACCGTTTCACGATATCTGCAAATATGTAGGTCTCTTTTATACATACTCTAAGAAAAAACTCAGAGAGCAGCCGATGGCATCGGCGAGTGCAACGAGTTCGTTCGCGATCGGCTCGTAGCCGTTTTGTTTTTGTTTCATTTCGTTGTGGCTGTACGCCGACTGTTCTGATGAGTTTTGTATATGTGTTGGTGTGCTTGCGCTCCCGAGCAGTGTTGCCAGGTTTTGAGACATAAAAATAGCAAAATCGTCTCTAAAAAATAGCTGAAAATAGCTAAACAAATTTTAAAATAGCTTACAAAATAGCTGAAACCTTTTATTTTTAAATGTTATTTAATAATGTTACAATTTGGTCCACATCCAAATCATCATCAGAATTATATTTTTGATTAACTGGAATCATGTTTAAATGGAATCATGGAAAATGTTTAAATTTTTTGCCCAAAGGCGCCAACCGCAGTTTTATGTTTTTTTGTCGCGGCATGCATTTTAATATCGTGCAGTTTGGCAAAAACACTGCATTTGCAGTATATACAATACGCCCGCCTGTTGTCTGACTCATCCTCCTTAATCCAATTCTTAAATTCGGTGATTGTTTTCCAGGAATCACGAAATTTCTGCTTATATTTTTTATCCATCACATACAATTAATGCCAAGAAGCGCGCCAAGAAGAATTAGCGATGGTGTAAATTCACAACTGATGTTATAAGTACGATAAAGTCGTGGTGGTAGTATCGCGCAGATCATTACGTACAATTTGGGACTTAATCGAAAAATGTTTTTTTTTTTTTTTTGGCTTTAAATACTAAAATCAAATTCAAAATATTCGTTTGTAAAATAGCTAAATTTATAGCTAATAGCATTTTCAAAATTTTCATAGCATTTAGGGTTCAAAAATAGCTAAAAATGCTATTAAATAGCTAATCTGGCAACACTGCTCCCGAGCTCAATTCACGTGTATGTGTGTGTGAATATGTGAAGACCGTTTGCTTTGACTTTGAGTTGTTGCTCATTTACTGTGTCTGATTGCACGAACGCCAATCGTATCGCTCCTTAAACGATGTTCGTGAAAAGAGTTTCACACGACGGAAGGTGCTCAACACAACAAGACGAAAAGAACCGTCGTCTCTTGTTCAAAGTGAGAGTAAGTAAAAAAATTTTTTTTTTTTGTTGGTTTCGCGAGCAGAGCGCAAAGTATTAAATGATTAACTATTATTTGCTCTGCATAATACCATAGTCAAATGATTTAAAACCCGATTTAATTTGTATATCTCCCATATAGCTCGAATAGAGTTATGAAATGAAATTGTAGGCTTAAGATCCTCTATGGTGTGGATTTTAAATTAAAATAAAATGAAATCTCATGAAGCGACTCAGACTCGATTTAGATATTAGTTTTATAGCTCGGATTCGAAATTGAAATATTAAAATAGGGCTTAGAGCTAACATATATATGAAGTAAGCTATATAACGACAGACAAACTTGGTTTATGTCATCTCACTCAAATAAGCTAAAATATATAAAGTATTTGAAATAATTTTGTATGCCAAATATTTCTTGGTAAAATTACTCAAAGAAATATTCAAAGAAGTTGCCAAATGTCAATTAATTGAAACAGCTTTGGCGTTCATTCAGATTAATACTAGAAATGTTGTGAGCAAGTGATTAGGTTAGGCAAATATTAGCGTAAGGTATGCAGCATAAGGTACGTATTTCTGGCAAACACTTGACGTGACTTGACGTGACTTGACGCGACTTGACTTGACTTTACTCGACAGCTGTTTCCTTCACAGTGTATGTAAAAAACAATTAAACAACGACAGTGCATTGACAGTAACTAGATCTGGTATTGGATTAGTTGGGTTAGTTGACAGCGTGTTGCAGCCCATTCGCATTTGCATTTGTGGCGAGTTCAGTGGCTTTTGGGCGGCGTTTAGGGATCGAGGCTTACCTTGAAGTTGAGACGCCCCAGCTTCTGTTCGCTCTGCTTGTCCTCTTCGTCGCCTTCTTCGGCATTTTCGGTGAGTTCCTCCATATCAGGCTGAACCTATGGCATACCAGAACCCAATAACTACTAAGATTTGGTGGCGTTGCAGATACTTACTTTCTCCTTGTAGGCCGATCCCAACAACTGTACCGATTTCATATCGACACCCTTCTTACCCTTACCATCTTTGGTTCTTCGCTTCTTCAGGAATCTGCGCACACAGAAAAATATGATACCAAAGACGACGAGGAATACGAGTATTATAATCGCGACCACGCCCCATGTGGGCAGTCCAGTGCGTTCAGCAATTGCCTCAGTGACTACTTCGCCAGCATGCTCAATCTTTTTGATAACCGGCACGGATGTAGTAGCAGCTTCTATACAGATTAAGCTCTAATATATATCCAAACCTTGGGAATAGTAATGGATCTATGCTCTGCAACTCACCCTCAGCCTCTGTTGTTGTTTTTGGTGCTATTGTTGTTTCCACTTGTGCAATTCTTTGACTCTCGGCCGCCTGCTGCTCCTGCTGATCCAGTTCCCGAAACTTGGAGTGATGTGTCGTTTCTTCCAGCTTCTGATTGGCCGTCTCCAGCTCGGCCGCCGGCTCAGCGCCTGACACAGGCGCCGGCTCTGGCTCCGTTTCCGATTTTGCATTTGGCGGCATATTGCACTGTGATTATAACTGGAAATAGTTGGATTTTAAGAGATTTGATTAGAATGGGCTTGAGTTTGTGGTGATAGTTTCTTTTTTGTTCAACTTATTATTTATTATGAATATATATTTATAAATACGAATTAAATATTTGTAGAGCTATTATATATACTGCATGAGCTTGAACTGCCTATATGGTTGGCGAATTGGATGGGAAGACCCATCGATTTGGTTTGGCTTTGAAAACCCTTTTCTCGTCGATAAGATGATTTTAATATTTTAATTAATTATAAGCTATTGCAGAGCTTGGCCTAATGATGACATAATAGTTATTGGTAATTTATTAATTATTAATGGCTATTATTATACTATTAATATAATATGGATAATATTATTTCATTTTATTTTTGTATGGTGCGTATGATTTTATATTTTAAAATAATAAAAATTATAATTATAAATGTAAATTATATCCAAAAAATATGCTGCTGCTCGTCTTTGCTTTTCGTTACCGACTAGATCGTAATCTAATGCTGCATTAAGTATAAAAACATTTATAATCCAGGCTTTGTTATCCCATATATTACGTTCCTTAAAGATCTGGCAGTTATGTAAATTAAATCTGACTTCTTTCTTAGTTAACCTTCGTCAATTATATTCCCTGCTCTGGCTTCTCTGCTATTTTTTCCCACTAAAAGCTTAGTGATTACACTACTTTTGAAAAGAAAATTGCTCAAGTTTTTCTTTTAGAAACTTTATTTTGTTCGCTACCAATCGTCGTTTAAGAATAGCGACAACAAAGTTCAGTCGAGAAATCCCACAAACGTCGCTGGCAATTTACGCTTGGCGTATCCTTGGAAGCACTAGAAATGCCGCGAGGGTGTCGACAATTGGCGCAGCAAGTAAGAGTACTTATGAATAGCATGCCAAGGGCACGCACACACACACACACGTACAGACATAATAATGCGCCCACGCACACGCACACACACACACACCCACAGGCAGCTTAGCCCTCTCACATACACTTATACATTTAAGTATTACGCTTTACTGCTTCCATTTTTATTTCTAATTAAATTCATTTGTATTAAAACCGCGTTTACCCTCTGCCTCTGATTCTTATAATTGTTTCCTCTTCCATTGTGCTTCAATATTTAATTAATGAAATATTATTTGCGCTAACACAGCTTGAGTCGCGGTTAATCTAAACGCAATTGCGACTCTTTATCATATGGCGTGTACTCGCAGTTACAGTTGCCTTTGACCTTTCAGACGGGGTCCTTCGACTGTCCTTATTCTCATTACTTGCTGTCACTTTTTGTTTTTTGATGAACATTGAGCTGCCTAAAGCAGCTTGCTGTAACTGAAAGCCCGCACAGCAAGTAATTGGCCAATTAAGTATTGAATGGCTCGCCATAAGGGCCAAGGCGGAGACTTTTAAACATGATATGAAAATGATTTGAATTTCATTAGATTTGTTGAATTTCTTATTATGAATTTTTATTTTTATCAATCATTACTCTCATCAATTTTAATAATATAAATGTTTTGTATATACAAATTTAATTCCAAATTTTTTGTAGCTGCTACGACTCAAAGTTGTTTCTCTGCCTGTTCCAAATCTACTCAAACTCAGACAAAAATGAATTTAAAAATAAAAGAAATTTCACTTGAAGATTTTTGCTTTGAAGTATCTTAAATCAAAGGTGAACCTTTTTGTCTATAAAATACTTGAGGTAAGATGAAAATTCTAGGAAAAACATATTTTCCAGTTGACTTAACCCTTGAAGCCCTTTCGCACTTAAAACGCATTTTATTTGTGCCAATTTATAGTTTACTTATTTTTAGCTGCATCTAGTTAGCTCTAAGTAGGAAAAAAAAATAAATAAAATAAAAAATTCTGCCATCGTGTCGTATACGTAATTTAATGCGAATGCGACCGCCGATTGCTGCCAGCTGAACTGGGCTGCTGTTGCGGTTGTTTGGACATCAAATGACGTCAAAGGTAATGGGAAACTCAGCATATGAAGCCCCGTACTTTTTGCACTCCTCCAGGCCACAAATGCAAATTGATTCCACCCACGCAGAGCCTCGACCAAGTTGGTTCATAAATATGCGTAAAATACAAATGCGCGCTCGCATTTAAATACAAATGCCAGCTGCTTATGTTGACTTGGGCCTAGTTAGACGGGGGGTGGTCAGCGGGCGCATTTTCCACTTGCCAAAAATTCGGTGTGGGCCTTTAAAGGACACTCGTGCCTCGCTCAGACCACGCCCTGTAGTCGCTTCAGGGCGCATGTGGCGCCACCGAGCGATCCAGCCACAGGCACTTGAGTAAACATTGACGACACTTTTCGCCAAATCAATAAATTTAAATGGCTAGGCTCAAAGACAAGTTGGCCCGCGGCAAAGCTTGTGAGTGGAGCAAATTAAGACGCGACGCCAGCTAAGTGGCCTAAGTGAGCTCCAATTGCAAATTGAGTTTGAGCAGTTCCTTGAGAGCACATTGAAAGGTTAACGAACATCAATAAATTAGGTTGAATGAGATTTCCGATTGAAGCTGTGCGAGAATGGCAAGTGAAAGATTTTCGAATAGACAAGTTGAAGCAGGTTAATGGAAATTGAGAGTATATCTTAAACTGAAAATCTTTGCCTTGCAGCTGGACCATGCCAGCTCTACTTTTATTTTTTCAGCTGCCAATCTATTTAAAAAACCCTTTTAAGTTTATTACCCATGCAATTTCCATTGTGCTATAGAGAACAAGGGTTGAATATCGTATTAGCTGGAAGACTGTTGCTAGCTGTTGCTGCTGTGGCACTTCAAGTTGTTCGTTTTAGCCACCCAAGCACCTGCCCCACTTAATTTCGACTTATGAAATATTAATGCAAAGGCAAGGGAATCGACTCGAAAAAATGCACGAAAAAAAGAAGCTGAGAGAAATAAAAAGCCTAAGCAAATTTGGCACATTTGGTACGTGATATTTTATTAATGCCGCAAATCAAAAGCTAAATAACGATTTCCGTGTAAGACAGGCCAAGAAGCTGCGGAGACTACTCTGAATAGCTGTCATAAAACTGGCAACAAAGGCAATTTATGGTCGCTGTGACGTGTGTGTGTGTGAGTGTGTGTGCAACTAACAGATACATTTTCTTAAACAACCACAGGCACACACACACGCACAGCTGCACAACTACAAGCAAACGCATGCATTTTATTGTAGCATACATTTGAGCGCAGCCACAACATTTTTTGTCATTTTGCCAGCGCTACTTTTGCGCTTTCTTTTCCCATTTCTCTCTCTCTCTTTCTCTCCCTTGAGCACACAGGTCAGCTAGGTGTGCATGTGTGTGTGTGAGTTGCTTTTTATGATGTGCCTGGTGCCCATTCGTCTGGCCCATTCGGGTAGCAAAACTACGCAGTTTTAACTGTCGCAAAACAAATACAAAACTTTTGGCTCGCAAGTCGCAAATGCTTGATATCCTGGGTGCTGTATTTTATTAAATAAATTGGTTTTTATAATGTGATTTCCCTAATTGCGTTTTATTTATTTATGCCACACGAACCACTCGAAAGTCGATTAGGGAGTGAGTGAGCGAGTGGAAACTGAACTGAGCATTATAGAAAGATTTTTATTTAATGAAGAATGAGCTCACTTTTGCTAGAAGTATGTGTATAGAGGACTTTAAGTTAAGCTCTGGTATAAGGTCTAAGATAGATCTAAGATAGAAGAAGTTGAACTGTGTTCTAAGATATAAATCATTTATATAATATATCTATATGATCTATAGACACGTCCTGAGTGTTTTTTCATATTGCACTCCCTTATCTGTTCTTCCTTATCAGTTATTTGTTATTAGTTATTCATTATCAGTCATTCTCTATACCTTAAAGCTCATCCATATGTCTCCCATATTTAAGCAATTTTGAATGCAAATATATCAGTCTTCTAATTTAATATTCTATTTAGGTTATCCCTTATCTATTGACTCTTCTAATATTCACTTAAAGCTGCCCTTAACATTTGAATGTTTTAGCTCTTGATGTTTCAGTCCTTCTTCAATTTCCCAAACCTCTAGTCAAATCTCACGCTTTTTGCTACAATTATTTCGATTTTTGCTAACGCAAGCTATTCTAATCTCTGGCTAAGTCCGTTTGCTTTGCACCTGCTAGAAGGTCGCACGGAATTGTCTAAAAATAGCAACAATTGGTTGTCATTTGGAGTGGGGCGGAATTCATTTAGCGATAAGATAAATTGAGCTCATAAAACATGCAGCGGGCAGAGATAACGAGTGTAGCTGCTGTCGTGGCCCAGTGACAGGCACTCAAATTGCAGTCTGGCCGAATGTCAGGAACTGACAATCAGGCTGTCAAAACAAATTAAGCTCTGGCTCAGACGCACAGCGCAGTCAAATATTCGAATAGCAACAGCAACAGCAACAACAGCAACAACAACAACAACAAATGTGTAATAGAAATAGAATTAAGTGTTTTATTTTCTGGCGTCGTACTGCGCGGGCTGTAAGCAGGAAGGCGACCCTCATTCAAACTCAGCCATTAATTGTTAAGCTTCTTCATTGCCTGACAGTCGCTGAGCAGGAAACGGTTAAACTTTTCAAGAGAGCGTTCATCAGAGAGAGGGCTCGTGTGAGAGAGAGAGAGGGAGAGACATATGTTTTGCCTGCCCCTACGCACTCTCACGCTCTCTCTCTCTCTGCGCTTCCTGCGCACATAACCCAGAGAAGGCAACAAAATAAGCTAAAAGCCGTGGGTAGAGTAGCGCAAAAAAAAAAGAGGAAAAGAAAAAAATAAATGCCAAGAAACGAAAAATGAGAAACGGAAAGAAGAAAACCAGACGAACGGCTAACCAAGTTAAGATTGCTTAGGCGACAGTCTCCCACGAGGCATTGATGATGGCGAAACGAAATCTAATTTTCCACATCATTATGCTTTTCGCTTTCATACAATGCGTTCGATATACCGTTATTTCGTTGCACATCTATCTTCGCGAGCTGCACACAGACACACACACACATAGACTTTCCACGTTGGTTGTAACCAAAATTTTTTGGCATGAGCTTAAGGGGTCAAAAGTACGCACAAATTTATATATACAAGTGTCACTCTCTATTGGTGTGTGGGTGTATGTGTGGGTGTGCGTGTGTCTGCTTTAACATCGCCGCCAACTTCATTATTGGCAATTATGTGCGGTTTTTATACGCGTTGCCCTGGGAACTCCGCTCCATAATTCGTGCTAATAAAATAAACGCTTCGCGTCTACAACTTCGACTGCCGCCCCTTCTTATTTCTCCCTAATTTGTTGTTTTTCGTGTGCGCACATATTTGATGTTGCTCGCTCAGCCACTTAAAAAAAAGCAGCGTTCAAAGAGATGCTTAATTATGTTCAGCTGACGCTTATTATAATCTGAAGGGCAATGTCTCTGTGGGCAGGTGGATTGACTTGAGTGCGAATAGCTTAAATGGTCATCAAATTTGTAATGTGAGTGAAGAAGTTGATAGATATGAAAAATGCGATACATTTTATTAATATGAAAATAAAGATTTATACAAGTTTTTCGTACTCAGCCATAGCAATATAAAAATTAATATATGTTTGTAATAATTATCACGTATTAATTTAATTAATATCTTAAATGGAAATTGCTTTAAAAATAAGTCAAGTAATAATTAATTTATATTACTGTAGTCTAATTA